TAGGGTTTAGGGCTTGGGTTAGGGATGAGGGCTTAGGGTTCAGGGCTTAGGGTTGCGCGATTAGGGGGCTTGGGTGTTCGAGTGTAGGGCTTACGGGTGCGGCCCTAAATCAATTCCTCAACCCCTAAGCATTGCATGCGGCTTTTAGATTTGAGCGCGGTGATGCTTTGCCTTATTTTTGCCTGTCTACAGTATACTGAGCTGCACTCTCCTGGCGAGAAGGACTCTGATATTTGCTAGCACGTGTCTGTAAATGCAGCTACCGATCACAGGCAGCACGTTGAGCACGTGGCATTCAGGGCTGCGGCCAAGTGGACAGCGATTTCAGACAGAGTGATAGGCGGGATATGGGAATGGGGCTAGCATGGAAAAGAAAATGGAAGCTATAGGGATTTTGTAGGGTGATGTTGGGATGATGGAAAAGAACATGGAAACTATAAAGATTAGATTATGGAACGAATCTACAGGTGTGAGCTGTAGAGGTTCTTGGTTTCCTTTGTGTGCAGCGCTCAGGGTTGAGAACAAAAAGACTGTGAGGCCCAAAGTCACCCTAAGCGCGAAGCTGCCAACTGCGTTGCCCCTGAAGCCCAAACCTTGACCCTCAAGGATCGGGAACCCTACTGATCGAGGGAATATATAATAATGGAAAAGAAAATGGAAACTACTGAGAATACATAATTTCGGAAAATGGAAACGACTATATTATAATAAGCCCTAAACCCGAAAATCCCCCGCCCTGAGGCTTGCATCCTAAACCCAGATAGCCAGGATTTCACATCCCTAGCACCCCCCCAGCCCTGAACCATACATCGTGCAACGCAAAACTCTTCAGTTTCTGAACCTCAGAACTGGGTCATTGTTGAATGGAAGCCCGAGGAATATAGCTGCATTGTGTAGATACGATCTCAATAATAAGGAAACATGTAATCCCTATGACCACGTCCAAGCCCAGCCCAAGACCCAGAAACCACAACCCTAGGCACTAAACCCAACACCCTAAGCCCGAAGGCCTAAGCCCCAAACCCAAAAACGAAGCCAGGCGCGCAACTTCTGGTTGCTCACCTCTCTCATGGCTTTGCCTATTTGTGCCACGGCAAGTGCCCTCGCCGAGGCTCGACGGGCATGGCTGGGGATATCTTGGAGGTTTCCAGCTTAGGGTATGAGAGCTCAGGGCTTCAGGTTTAGGGTTTCGAGTTTCGGCCCCATTTTGTGACTTCAGCTATGATCCACTGATGGGTCCCAGACAGATACCATCGATATATTTTGGCCATAAGTACAGTCATATGACAACCTTGGACCGCCAAGTAGCGAGTTTTGGGATTGGGGCTTCAATCTGGCAAAAGGTATTAGGGTCTAATAGTTGGTCAATTGCATTCCCTGATGGTCCTCGTATGAGTATACTAATATACGGCAAAGCCATGCGCTGGTTAGATAGGTGCATGCGGTAGAGCTAGTTGAATAGGTGCTTGCAGTAGGGCCTGAAGGAGAAGATTGCTTGTTTGGACTTTATTGGCTTTGGAGCTGCAGGGTTATGAGCTCTAAAGGGCCCCCTCATCGGCTACGATTGCTTCAAGCATTTTATGTGGGCGTAGGGTAGAGACTCCGTGCTGAGGCATTTGCAGTGTAGGGAGTCATGGCGTAGTCATGCGGCATTCAGAATGTAGAGCTTTCGCCTTCTGACGGAGTCAGTACTCATTGCCATCAGCTACAGCTTCCAGTTATCATGGATGCGTGCATCAAAACACCAAGTTACCTGCTTTGAAGCCCTTATGGCGAGGACCTTTGGGATCATAGGTTTTAATTTCAGTTCCGGGAAGAGGGTTTTGGGGATTCTGGATTCTTGTTTAGGGTCCCCTTCTCCCCCTCCTGAAAGTAGACCCCTTATAAGGCTTGATTCTGGCCTGTTACGGGCTTACTTAGGCCTTACTTGGGGGAGGAGCAGAAGGCTGGGGTGTAGCATGGAATCCCATGACTACATCTACAGCAAGGAAAACCCTTTTGACCCCTTCTGACAGGACAGCAATTCCAAAGAGGCCATGTTCTGGCAAGGGAAGCCATGTAGTCATGTAGTGTTTAAGGTCTATGGAGCTGAAAGTCAAATTGAATGAGAAGGGGCACAGAAAGGGAAACGGGCATTATGCAAGGGGTTATTCTTTGTGCAATTATGGTATACCCCCGCCCAGACGATTTCTAAAGTTTTGCAGCGCTGTACTGTAGTGCTCCCTTGTTTACACACGAGTAGAGCTCTAAGTTTTTTTGGGCCGCATAAAGGGCCGTAGGCTCGGTCTGGGAATTTAGAGTTAGTTCCCATAGAAAGAACTCTTCAAATTATGGACCTGCACGATTCTTTTGCAATTTCTTTACATCCTTAAGGCGGGCCCCGCTGTTTGGGAACACGCCATACCCATGCGATGGCAGGTCCTCAGCTCTTTGTCGGTTCCGAAAGGACTGCTTGCCGAAGCCAGCATCATAAGTACACATAGCTAGGGAACCTTAGGGAGTGCAAGCGTAGGGCTTAGGGTTGTTTGGGCTCTTACCAGAAAATCAGATCAAACCCAAAAACTCAATGACAGGAACAGTATAGGAGGCCTTAGGTAGACCTCACGTCCCTCCAGATTCTAGACACCAGTGTGACCACAGCTAGAACACGGGTCCTGCGCTTGGGGTTGAGGGTTTAGGATGGAGGAAATCCTGCACCACTTGGGATCTCCTATGGGGTACAGAATATCTCTAGTGCCAGAATTCCTCCATCCGCAGTAGGGGTGGAAGTACAGAGTCACTAGGTCGGTATGAAAGGCTTAGGTTTTTGGAGTTCAGTGCCCAACAGTCGAAGGATGGCCCGATGGTCAGGTACTTGGCCTCTAAGGTCGATTGATCCTTCTTGAGGTAGTACAAACATGTGAGTAGTTTTTTTTTGGGGGGGGGGAGGGGGGGGTGGGGGGGTTGGTACCCAATATAGAGTAAGACTATATCTTCCTTTTGGGTAAGGATTGTAATCTTATACTAGGTTCAACCACCACAAAAACGCTACTCATGTAGGATGTTGTATAATGACCAAGTCGGTGGTCAGGGTTTTCAAGCAGGGGACTATGACAGCTTTGACAGCTACCAACAGACCCACAGTCTGAAGCTTGGCTCGAGATTTCGTTTTGCAAAGCCTTGACAGTTGTTTGGATGCCTCGAAATTTGCATTCTTTTCTTGTAATTAAGAGGGCGCCGATGTTGTTCGTAAGGGAAGGGTTTACTGTACGTTCAGAAGGAAGAGGGGTACGTAGCACGAGTGTCCGTCCCAGCACCGCATTATCATTCGCATGCGTCAAGCCTGACCCACAGCAAGTACTTACCAATCCGTACTTCCCCTATAGTAGTCCCCTACTTATAATCCCGTATATAACCGGCTTTAAATAATTTAGACTATGGCTCGCTTGCTGGGTTGCTTGCCGGAGGATATGTGCCCTTCTTCGAGAAGGCCGTTCTGTCATGGAGCTCTACCCCTCCAACATATGAGCCATAGTCTGAATTTATTTAAGGGGGGTTATATAGGGTGTTTAGGGTTTTAGGTTTAGGGTTTAGGGTGTAGGGTTTAGGGTGTAGGGTTTAGGGTTTAGATTATATGCAGGGGAATACTATAGGGGTTGTTAAGGGGAATACTAGGAGTTTAGACTCTAGCATATGGGCCTCCACAAATTAAGGGCCTTGTCGGGGATAGCTGGGGGCTCTTGGAGCTTATCACGGTTTATTGGAACAAATTGTGCATCATGAGTTTGAGCGGCCCATGTGTCCTAGGAGGTTTCGGGTTTAGGGTTGAGGGTTTTGTGTCCTAGGAGTCCTTTTGCAGCTGTCTGAAACATACTTCCAGGTCTCATGTGGGAAAGTTTAGGAGCTTTGCGTGTAGCTTGGGAATTCTAACAACTGGATTTGTTTGAACCGCAACCCTTACAATAATGACCTCATGACTGTAGGGTCCTCATTACTAGAGGGCTTACGGTACCCCAAATGCCCCTTGTTAATTTCCCAGTTGCAGCTAAGCAAGGACTTTATCACAAGATTTTACTAGTGTAAGCCGGCGGTTGCGTGTGCCTGTAGAGACGCAGCCCACATGGGTAGCACAGGAATTTAGACGGCTATTAAGGGGATGTAAGGTACGTCAAGGTCCAAGTGCTCAATAGTTCAGTGCTTGGCCTTGGGTGTGATTTGTCGTAGTGCACGTTTTTTCCATTGTTATTTGCTACTCGGGCATTAAGAATGATTTGCGGGTGCCTCGGTCCAAAGCCCAGGTGTTTGACTATGGTTCAAGGGCTTAGGGCTTAGGGGAGTGTAGGGCTCAAGGACTTGGAAGCTAGATTGATGTTTCAATGTATTAGGGTGATTTATACATATCGCCCCAGAACAAGACAGTCATCTTTGACACAGGCATCTCGGAAATTTGACATACCCCAAGCACAGCAACCACTCTAGCCATCTCATTTGAATCTGAAAGTTGTTGGCTTAGAGGTATTTGGTACCGGAGAGCCAGGACAGTAGCCCGTCGTTAGGTACGTGATTTCAATTTGTCCCTTGCGCCGTGCACGTGTGAAAGAGTTGCAATTTGAGGGGTGGACGATCCAAGGCTTTGCATGCAGAACCGCCGCCCATTTGAAAAATAGCTCGTATCGCATACTCATTTGCCTAGATGCGCCCATATGACTCCTTTAGGGATCATTCCGTCCAGAAATTGGCGCTAATCTGGAGACATCCCTTTCAGTTCCAAGCCCAGCAGACATCAAAGCTAAAAGACTCAACAGAACAAAAACTGATCCCTGAACCCTCTAATCCTTATTCTCGAAAGCTTAAGCCCTCAACCCTGAACCGTATAGTCATTGAGCCTTGACTCTATGCAGACTAGAAAAGGGAGCTCAAAAATTCGGGCTACCAGGTTCTATATAACCAGAGGGTTTTGGTAACTCCAACCCTCCATAATATCCTGTTTCAAGTTTCCCTAGAAGCCCAGTTACCTATATATTGGCTTCCTGTCCTTTCTTATACTATGTGTAACCCAAGGACCTACTATATGGGTACCTGAGCTTCTAGGGTTTCATCGCATGCGAGGTGGACGATGATGTCTAAATCCCGAAGGAGCTTTGTGATTCAGGCGGGCGCGAGCTTAGGAATAGGTTAGGAGGACCCCCCACCCTGTAATAGTGGTATGATAGGAATATAAGAGCACCCTCATATGATCCCTATTATCCCTTGTAGTCACTATTACTGGGTGGGGGGTCCACCTAAGGAATAGGCTGAGCATCTCCGATTTTGGGGTTCTGAGCATGGTTTACCTTGTCGGGGCGTAGTAGTGATTTGGGAATAGCTCATGTAGGGAGTATATAGGGATGCTATTCCTTGGTCCCTACTAAGCACCAGTAAGTTACAGAGATTCCTCACAGTATATTCATACTGGCTGATAAGTAACAGAATTCGAGAGCCCTTGAGCTGAAATCTTGAACCTTAAGCCCTAGGAACCCTAAACCTGAAAGCCTATGTACCCTCAACCTTAGATTAAATAACCCTGTAAACCCCCAAAGACCAGATGCTGATCCCCAAGCCTGCTCCTTACCACTACCAGTTCGATCTGTCGTTCTGGGTTATTCAAATAGGGGGCCCTAGGGACTACAGGGAGAATGGGATTGTAAGGGGTTTTCGAGGGTCCTTATTTGGCCACATATAGGAAGTATCATCTTGAGACTACGTAATCTCACTGCCTTCCCTTTACTAAGATCGGACCTCAGGCGGTTTGGGTGCAGATCAGAGTGTAGGTTTTGCTGGTTACCCTGCCCCAAATAGGCATGTCAGGCAAAAAAGGCTTCACATAGTTTGCTGTCCTTTGAAAAGGGGATCATATCAACCCTCCAGTAGTGACCTGCCAACACCGGTCCAACCCCGAGCATCAATCATCTCCCCTAGAGACCTTATCTACATAGGCTGAAAGAAGTAACAATACTGACAATGCCGGGCGCAAACTCCAACTCATGTACGTAGAATACCTAAACCCCAAAAGTATGTAAAATTATAGCCCTAAACCCATAATAATAGCCATAAAGGCCATTATTTTACATACTTTTGGGGTCCAGGTAGTGATTTCCAGGCCATTCTATTGTTCTCTGGCCCCAGTACATCTCCTTTTCAGGCTTGGTGTTTCTTGTCTCCAGGCTGGGTCTACGTTATTCCATCAACCTTTTCAGACATTTGCAAGATCTAGAGATATATCTGCAGCACTTATATATTGCATAGGTCCTGGAACTGTTTGCATGCCTCCCCAAACCTAAGCTATGCGTCCTTTTTTATGAGCTCTGGCGCCTGCAAATTGCTAGTCCCCTTCCCCTACCAGTAACTTTCGCCTTGCATTGAACATTAAGTCATCTCCAATGCTAAACTAGTCCGGCTGATCAGAAGCACTAACCATGTTGTGAACAGAGAAACTTTCGCGGGAACCCTGCCGGTGCCTCCAGATAGCCCAATGCACGTATTCGTGCTATTCATAAGCTTTAGGGCCTTCTGCAGGTGTTGATTATAGCCTTAGTACTCCAGGTGAAGGGATAGTTGCAGCCGCAGGGCACAGTTGCGTGGCAGGTTTGCGAATGCAAGAAGCAGATATTTGGCCTACTGAGTGGGCCTGAAGTCTGCGGAGTAGCTGCCCCTTCTCCAGAAGCTAGTGGGTGCAAATCTAACAGTGTTTAAGACAATTCCCAACAGACCCAGGCCCCACACCTTAAACATCAAAGTACCCAAAGCTAACCCTACACCGTAACCCTATGTAATCCCTACAATCCCGATGTTTTTTGCATTTTCTTTTCCATTATCCCATATAACCCCGCTTACATCAAGCCTAAGCCCTAAACCGTCTGGTCTCTATGGGACTTATGAGGGTCATATTGGAGATAATGGAAAAGAAAATGGAAACTGCTATTATGGTGTTATTTAGGGTTTAGGGTTTAGAGGTTCAGCTCTTGGTCGGGTGCCGCGAAGGAGTCTGACTACTGACCACCCCAAACCCTGGTCTGAGGTTGATAAGAAAAATCCTGCATTTCTCCGCATACCTATATTTTTGGGAAATGTTGTATTCCAGCTTAATTTAGGATGATGCAGGTTTTTTGGTATCAGCGGAAATTACTACTCAATAAGTGGCTGGGTACTTGGCTTGCAAAGGCGGCTGCTGTAGTATAGGTTCTGGGAAAGTATATGATCATTGCATTGCCTACATGGACAGTTGGCAGATGTATCTTTGAGTTTGACGCTAACAGTACCTGGACCTCAAAAGTAAGCAAACTAACGGCCCAGGACTCATCGAAAGCAGCAAGCATGTTCGGGGTTCAGGGGGTTAGGGCTTACGATTCTACATGTTTGGGGGGTTCGGTAGACCCTCTGATATCTAGTCCTTTTGGCCCCATGATTTTCAGCCAAGATAACAGGGGCAGAACTTAGCGACGAACTCGCAGAATCAATGCCAGCAGTGCGTGCGTTGCTGCATCTGAGCCCCGGTTTGGGACTGTCTTGGCAGATCGGATGCCCAAGGAGTTCAATGTCCATCTTCCGAGTTATTGAAACCTATCGTGTAAGGTTGTGACTGACATCACGTACCCTGGCCACCTGACCCGGCCTCCCTCCCAAAAGAAACCGTACCGGGGATACTAAAAAGTTCTGGGAGATTCTGGGAGTAACGGAGGTTCTATGGGGCTTAGGGTGGAAGATTTGAGGTTAAGGCCGCAGGGTATAATACCTAGCTTAGGGGGCTCTAGGGTAGGATGGGGTGGCTAGCAAAGTTTAAGCCGGGACTCGTGTAGAGATAGATCAAGAGTGAACTTGCAATATAAGCTTCTTACAGAAGAACTGGCGCGGTATAGATTGCGTTAAAATAGTACATGATGGTTTCAACTTTCGTAACGATCTCTGAAGAACCGAGTTGACATACAGCCAGACATTCTGTCTACGGGCAGGTCGCGCTGAAGCAAAAGAGGAATTCACCATGTCTGTACAAGCTTGCATCCCTTCTTCTTTCTCCTACCTGAAAGATAAGTACAGCTATTAATCAGGTTTTAAGTGCGACATATTTGTTTCCTGTCAGATGGGTTGTCTCTTCTTGCCTGCAACACGGAGGCGTGATAGATGGACCAGAGCAGGGGTATAGCGCACCCACACACTTAAAGACCTAGTGTAGTGATATACAGGGATGATAGAAAAATGGAAATCGCCATCTAAGAAAATCACATGGAAATCATTTTTTATGTAGCAGGGTTTAGGGACATCACCCCCCCTAGTGGAGAATCAAGTCCAAAACAAATTGGAACATGTCATGGAAAATGGGTAATAGAATGTATGGGTTTACTTCTCCTGAAGGATGAATGTTGTGGCTGCTTCATGACAGTGCTGCCCTAAAGCCCGCTTGCGAAAGTTTTCTGGTTTCAGGGCGAGGGCGATTCATGTGAGAGTGGGATTCCC